TACAAGGTCAGTCAGGCCTATATACAGAATTTCTAACTTGGTTGTAAAAATAGACTCTCCATGCTAAAGTTAGAATATATAAGGTCTTAAGGCCTCATGTTAAGATTTTTTTTTAACCAGAACTTTTTTATTCAGAGGAATACAGAAACAGAAAAAAAAAATTAGCTTGTTGCTTTTACATTTTATGCTCTAGTAATTATAAATAGTGTAAAAGACACCTATACTTCTCCCTTACAGAATGCATTTCTTTTTAACTGCTCTGCGCTTATTTTCCCCAATCTTCCTCACCTCATTCTGAGTTACATTGCAATTATGGCCTGTCCACATAGCAGAAGTTTTTAAACAGTTTAAAGCTGGCTTAGCTAAAGTGATTTTTGAACTGGTGTAGATTGGATTTTAGAGAACTAAAACCACCAGACCTGGCTTGGGGAGCCAATTTTGAAGTTAGGTACAAAGTTTCTCAAGCGTGAGTGAACGACCACATTTCTGTGTTCTGAATTTATTTTTACTGCTTGTTTTGGTTACTTGGCTGAGATAGACAACAGTAATGTTGACTGTTGTAGTGCTTTTCTAAATAGTTGCAGAAAACTCTTGCAGAGTGACGAGATACCACGTGCTGGGTGTATGAGCTCCTGTTTCCAAAGCTTTAGTTTACCTCAGCATCCATACTTGAGGTACCAGAAATGTTTTTTGTAAGCTGACTTGGAAAATATTCAAGTCAAAGGAGTTTTTTAGTGTAGATGATAGAAACTATTACTTGCTTTCCTGTCTCTGGTGAAATCTCACTTAGAAGACTCCTGTCTGTATTGCAGCTATGTCTACACAATCAGTTTCACTGTTTCGCTTTTTTCTGCTCTAGAAGGATAATAGTTACGTGCACACAGGAACGTCACCCCACTGTGCAGTCATGGGCTGACAAGCTGTACATATGTGTGCAGTTTATTCATACTTGTCTTCACGCAATCTGATCAAAGTCAAATCCCATACTGCTGATAAATATCATATTGTTTGGAAGCCATGCAAATAGTGGGTCATCAGCTCAGCAGTCCGATGGATAATCCATTCTGGGGAAAAAACTGGCTTGAGAGGAGATCAGAATACTCAAGCTCTTTAAAAATGAGGTAAATAACCTCACACTGTGGTTGGTAACAGTGGCCCGAACAGTCTGCTAATGATACAGATACTCAAATAACTTAGAGAAAGAAATGGATGATCTTCAGACTTGGTGCACAAGAAATCGGACACAGCACAACTTTTAGGTTCACAGACTTAGCCTTCAACAATGCTAGAGAGTGAGAAAGACACAGGATGACCGAGCCAGCAAGTGGTTTTACCAGTGCAAACTGCACACAAGGCATGAGGGTCCATCACTTGCGCTGCAGCAAGAGCAAAAGATCTATTAACAGCACTGGAAAGACGTTATCCAGGTCACTGTGTCAGCAGGTGACTTAACTTAGCAGCTTTTTGATCTTAGCCAACTATCACAAGAGGCTGTTAGTGGATGTAATTATCATTCACGGAAATCCTTTTCAGTACGGGTGGAAAGGGGATGGAAGAGAACAGGACCTGGCTAGGTTTTACACTGGAGTGTGATAATCTTGCTTACAACAGCTAGGTATGGGATTCGATGACAGTGTAAGTCCTAAGAGCTAACTTGTTATCCTGTAGGATTATGGAGTCTCATCATTCTTTCACATTACATCATATCCTATATCATATATCATCATATCATTCATTAATTCATTAATGAAATTACTGCAGATTTGGTCAGAATTTGTAGTATATACATGCCTGTAATAGTGTATGTACCTATTCTTAGCTCTGGCTTTGAAAACAGTTGTCACATTGGTGTTGACAAGACCACTCAGTTCATTTAAAACCAGCAACACAGATTCAGGTAAGAGGACTTCAGTACACTGCCTACTGACAAAATTTCTGATTTTAATTCAGGCTATAGCTCAAAGGTCCATTTGTTCATTAGCACAATCAAAATTATATAATGAGTACATCAGCTTAACACGTTCAACGTCTCATAAAACAGGAACTCAAATCATTTGGAAGTAGCTATCTTCAAGTCACACTTCAAATCAGGTAACTGGCAAGTAGTGACTTAAGTTGACAATTTAAGCAAAGATAGGTTGTATAAAATCAACAACCTCCTTGAAGCTACTTATATATATAAATATAACAAAAATATATGTAAATTATCAATAACAACCATTTCTGGTGTATCACCTGAGTATATTCACCCAAAGTCTATAGTATGGATTACTGAAGTTCTTATGTCAACAAATCCAGAATTAGCAGGTAAATTTTTACTTCTTAAACTGTGGCATCATTGTGCAACATTACTATTTGGATATGATCTCTGTTTTCCAGTCTCCATCAGTCAGTCATGCAAATTTTATTTTAAATTATACAAGATTCTTCTCTCATGTTGAAATGCATAACGCTAACTTAAGTATAGCTCATCCTGCAGGTCTCCTATGCTCATATGGACAATTATATCTATTTGAGAAGAACTGATAATGTCCCCACTTCAGCAGGCATCTACAGCATAGCTGGCAATAACTAGTTCATTTGTTAAAATAACATAAAAGCATGAGTCTCAGTGAGTCAAAATGACTGAGCTATCTTATTGACAATACAAGTACTCTATTTTAGACTGGATGAGGTATTATGCAGCAATTTATATTGCTATTGCCAGTGTAACTAACTACAGTGGATAAAAATATTTGCAATCTTCAAGGTTATTAATCTGGCAGCTTTCCAACACACTAGTTTTAGAAGTAGGAAACCACCAAATGTGAGCAAACAACTTCTCTCTTTGACCCCCACTGGCTTTGGAGGCTCACACAGCCCCACCAGTTCAGGTTTTGTGCAACAACAAGGTCTCCAAATTACCAACCTGATGCAAAATTCTCTGCAGAAGAATTTTGCAAAACCCCAAGTCCTGTGATGTTCTCAGTCTAGACCATCAAAGTGAAAGTCAGTATTTATTTAACTTAAACTTAGTGCTCATAACCAGACTTCCAGTCACTACATATCTCCAAATGTGAAAGTGACTAAGTTACACTACACACATAACTGTATCACCATATGCTACAAATGAATTACACCAAAACAAGAGAGAAGCTGAAAGCACATACTACATTGAAAATACAGTCAGGAGAGCCATTTGTTTGCAAAACAAGAAGCTATGAACATTACACAAAGAGCCAGTATGTTATATCCAGTTCTGTCTGCCAAATCTTGCGGCTTCTTGATAAGGCAAAATGGAAAGGGAAGAGTAAACAGCGGTAAACATAAAATATGCACAGAAATCTAACAGGATTATTCACAATTACATGCCAGTTTGTATCCAAACAAAATACCATAAAAGGCACATGATGAACAGTCCAGTTACTAAAGATAAGATACTAATATGTGAGGGAAAAACAGCTTCCAGGCGACAGAATAATACGGAGGCTATTGGGTTAGCATAATGTCCTAATGTGGGTGAACTCTTTCAGGGTCCTGCTCAAAGTCCAGTGAAATCAATACCAGACATTGATTTCAAGTGATTATGGCTCAGGCCCCAATTTCATGAGCTATATGCTACCAACTATCTTTAATCCAGTTACCTACACTCAAAGTAGATCTTTGCAAAAAATATTCTTCCATGCTGACAGGTATTTACTCTTCACAAAAGTGCAGAATCTTTTCCTAAAGCAATTACAAGTGACTCCTTCCAGATGGTCTATCTGCATCCACTTGTTCTCACTCATATTTGTCTTTTTCCAAAATACTTACCAGAACCTGTCGACTGTGAAGGAAAATCACTTTAACTCCAAGGCCAATATTTTGTCATAAACCAACACACAGCCTAATCATAAAATATAGTGTTTCTAGAAATCTTACACACTTTACAGTTGCTGACATCTTTAAACTCTTAATTTAATCTTACATATATTTCATTTTATTGAGACACTTAAAAGTTAAAAAAATATATTAAAAGGCTGCAAGTGTTGGGTTCACTTATTAAAGGAAATACATGAAGGAGGTAGAAGATTCAGAAACACCATAGATGTTCCCATCACAATAATATCTAATTGATCATACGGCTGTTGGGCAAGGTATTCAACTGCACCACACAGAATTGGGTGTTTATTCTGCAAGGGTGCTACCTGCAGCTAATACTTAGTCAGTTTTAGAAAGCTGGAGAATTATAAACTGATTTAATATGGTCCAGATTCTTAGTGACTGAAAATTCCCAATTGAAAGACATTTGTTTTACAATAACCTTTAGAAGTCTCAGGCATTAGAAATCTAACCATCCACTTATAAACAAGATTAACATCTCCATGGTAAAAGGTTTGGGTGTTGTGTTCCCCCTGTTCGCCGCCCCCCCCCCCCCCCCCCACTCTTATTTAGGCTAAATTCACTTGTACTCAGTTTAATGCCCCAAAAAATTGTCAAGGAGGCTTCAGGGGCAGCAAGCATAGCATTCAAGTGCATGGTAAAGGTGATTCCAGTAACAAATAAAAATGAAAAGACAGTAATGAAAGTGGCCACTTGCCCAGCACTGTTGTTACGTAGTGCAGTGAAATCATTATGCTTCTCACAAGCTACACCTTGCCATCTAAAACAGTGTCTGAAATGCTTTATCAAAAATACATAGCAACTCTCACCAGAAGGACTTTATATCACCACATCCTGAATTGACTACTTAGAAGAATTCCCAAATGTCCAGGAAGTTGGGCGTGCATGTTACTTAATGACTCTGTTGTCTGCCAAATCATCCTTGATTACATCTGTGAGAGGATACACTGGTCATCTCACTGAACAACATATTTCGGCTGGTTCCTCTTACAATTTAAGACAAACTGCTGCTGTACTGGTTTTTGCAGTCTACCATACAACTGAGATTGTCAAGACAGTATAAGATACTGAAAAGATAGTATAGATTTTGGTCAAACACCAGTTTCTGAGAGACACGGTTTTACAGTACTGTACTTCCTGTATTTCCAAAGTTGTCGGCTTGTAATATTAGAAAACTTGAAGTGTGATGATGTTAGTGATGACTCTTTCTTTAGGCATTTGGCAAAATACACTTAGCTATTTTTGACATTATCAAATGTTTACATATATACAATCTGTATACTGAGATTATAAACACGTAAGGTAAAAAAAAAAAGATATATTCTTGTTTGACATTTGTGTCAAATAGTTGCCTTTCAAAGCTTGAAATCCTGTCACAAAAAAATCCTACATTTCTTACTCCTGCATGCTAATTTCTACTACAGTATGTTGTTTATCCTTTACATGTGGAAAGTAAAGAACACAAGGTTCATGCATACAGCGTACAAGTTTACATCGGCTGGGCTCTCCAGGAGGCACCTTCCCAGTTCCACTCTGGTCTGACTCAGGACTGCATTAGACCAGAGAAAAACCTCTCTTATGCAGGACTGGCAAACGGACTGCAGTTGCGATTCTAGGTAAGTGTATCTGTCATCATGCGGAATAGCCTTGTCACGTCTGGGTTAATTATCCCCTGTTAATTGTTATGATTTTGGTTCTTCATCAAATCCATAAAGTACTAGTCAATTAAAAAGAAAGAAAAAAAAGAGACTGCTTTTTTCCCTTCCAGATGAGAGGAGGTTCTCACTGTGATCACGGGCATCTCTGTTGATCTTTTGAATTATCTGAAGAGCAGATGAATGTGCAATGACTCAGTGATGCTGAGTTCCTATAAAATTCGAAGTAAACAGTTCTGTTGTCACCCCAGGAAAACACTGCAGCTAAATGGACGTCTCCCATAGCTGGAGAGGGGGAAAAGGAACACAAACACACACTGAACACCAAGATAAAACAGGCTGTTGCCCAAACAGTGCGAGGAGCTTGTCTGGGGAACTGCATCTACATCACTTGGGTCACCAAGGCTGCACTCTTGGTCTCCTCCCAGCCTCTTGTGGGTATCTGTTCAGACCACAAAGTTAGCAGTCTCAAGCATTTCAGCATGACTTGCAGTCTGCACAGTAAATGTCCATGGCTGGGAGTGCAGAGTTTGAAGCAAAAATGTCCGTGCAGCATCAGCTTTGTATCAGACAGCTTTTACCTTACAGTTACACTAACTAATATTAGTGTAATTTCCCACTCTTCTGCCTAACTCTGCTCAGGGCAGCATGAATTTCTGCCATGGGTTTCAGCTGGTGCCAAGGCAGCTCCAGGGCTGAGAAACATCAGTGCAGCCCCTCCTTCAAGCTGCTCTGCTCCACAGGTGCCTGGGAGACCCTGGGCTGCCTCTCACACAACTTTCTGCAGGACGTGGGGATAGCAGCAGCATGCAGGTCCCCTCAGCAGCGCTCCACTCCTTTCTTTCTTGGAAAAAAAGGACAGAGAGCAGAGATGGGAATCTCATTCTCATCAGGAACACGAACTAAAGCTATCACAAGTAAAACTCCTAAAGTAAGTTCCAGAGTTTTTTTGCTTATTTAAATATCTGCTACGTCTGAATTCACATGAAGGAAGCAATGACTAGCATTGCCTTTCAGCAGCAGCTGGAAATGTCCACCTGCGAAGCAGCATCACCATCCACAGATGTTCCAGTGGTTCCTGGCCACCCTGGGGGGCCAAGGTGGGCTCAGGGCACGCAGCAGCAAAGTCCCTCCAGGTCTGCAAGGGCTCGATACAAGCCTTCCACATCCTCCTGAACTGCAACGTAGCTACCCTTCCATAAAGCTGGAAAGCAGCTATCCCCCCGCCCGAAAGAGAGTTGCTAGCTGCACCAGCCCCCTGGAAGGGGTACGGAAGGAGAGCCAGATGCACTGCCCACTCCAGGGCTGCCTGTCCTCTGCAGCCAGAAGGTTGCCCCAGGCACGCTCCCACCTTGACAGCTAGTGAAATCTGGGCTTCAGGGCAGGTTTAAGAGCAACCTGAGCAGACATCTGTAAATACAGCCACCAAGGCTGGCATAATCACTGCCAGAGGCTCAGCCTTCAGCAGCTTCTGGAGTTAAGGGTACGAAGGAAATGCCACTGCTGCTGTCATTGTTAGTCAAAGATGCTGATCTGCCGGGCTTCCCTTTTGAAAAACTACCAGTAAATCAAGTCACTGACGAAATGCACAGAGAAGAGAGACACATACCCTGGCACTTTGCCTGTTGGCTTTTTTCTCCTCATCAGGAAGTGGTGGCATTGGGTAAGGGTATTTTCTGCTGGAAGCAATAGATCCAGTGGATGAAGACGGAGACTTTGCAGGCGACAGTGTCCTGAGATGTTGAAACACACAAAATAAATGTGATGTCTTTGGGTCCTAGCACTGCAACAGCAACTGCCATTACTCTGAAGCTTGGTTCAGAACCAAGTATATAGCTTATTATTAGCTCAGTATCAGGGGGATAAAGTTGTTTGATCAGTAGTTTAATAATTTCATGGTATTAATAAAAGTATTTATAGCTTTCAGGAACACTGGAAGAAAAAATAACATTTCCTACTTCTTATTAGAATTGTATTGCATAACAAAAACAATTACTTAACTGTTTTATATGGTACTCTAATTAATCATTATAAAATTAACAAATCAAATCTGCAATTGAATAAATACAGATCTAAAAGATAGATATGGCATTATGAAGCCTACCTAAATAGAAACAGTAATTGTATAAATTCAAGCTGAACAATGTCTTCTGTTAGTGACTAAATGGCAATTATCAGTGTCTTTATGCGTATCCTACACATCTACTATATTGATACAAACAGCAAATAAATCTATTATTTTATAAGACATTAATTTACACAAATGCATGCACTTGGAGGCCAAACTGTTAGTTGTGAAGTAACAAAGGCATATACAAAGTGCTAATAATAAATTATTAGACATGCAAGCATCATACAGTGCATATTGTTCCAGCCAAAGAAAGAGTCTGATGAGAATATACAAAAATGGACTGATTAGTCAATGGCAATCAGCATTTCTGTACAAGGTGAGTAGAGTAAGCAGGAGCAAGTAAATGTTTGTATCACATGAAAGGCATTCTTTTCACGTCAATAAGGCAGCAGCACATTATTGACTGAAATTTTATACCCAAGAAAAACTCTTATGCTTCTGTTTTGAGATTCTGCACTTTTCCCACTTCAGAGGTTTCTATTGGGCCCTAAATCTGGGCAGAATAAAAGGGAAAAAAGGCTCAAAGTAGAAAAATTGAGCTACCCTGGCCTTGTTCTGTTTTGCAAACTGAGGGCATTTTTCAAAGGAGGCCTCCCATTAGTGCAGGCACATCACCCAGTCCCTCCCTGAGCACTGCTACCTACTATCTTCTGAACTTAACATGTCCCTGAAGATGGAAGGTTTCCCTCAGCTTCTCCAGACAGGTCTTCCAAGCCCCTCAAACACAGCAGCGGCTGCGTGTTGTGCAGCTGTAGACCCCAGTGATGAGCATCATCACTGATATCAAGGAGCCACAGGAGCCACCCCTGGCAGACGGTCCCACATCTCTGGCTCTGGGATTTGCGGTATCAGGTCCTTTCATCTAGAGAGGATTACAGACAAGGCAGGCACTCTTTTGTGTCTGGAATTGCTTTGTATCTCTATTACTAAGTGAAATTTGTTTATCTTTAAATAATTATTCTTTTATTTTGGACTAGTGTATCATTTTGTTGTGTTTGTAGCTCCCTACAACAGCACACTCCTGTCTCCCATACAAAAAATGACTGATGGTAGCCACGAGAAACAAGGTGTCAATGGAAATTATATGGCGAGAGCTCTCCAATCTGGCTCACGATGCTCTAATGCCTCATATGGTAGCCTCTAAGTTCAACAGCACTTAAAAGTTTTAGGTTGGTACAATCATCCAAACATGAAAGAGTACATCTTCAGCACATGCACTTTGATCACCTGTTATGATGAACTGGACATACACTGATTTTTTTTCAGGAAGAAAAAAATTTCAAACAGCTACTGCAGTATAAAACAAGGTTTTCATATGTCCAGCATCACAGATCTGGGCACCAAATTGCACATGCAAGAAAACAGGTTATTTAAAAAAAAAAATCCAGGGAAAGGTTCTCAACAGTGCCCTGCTGTTCACTATCCGCACAAGTCCTCTCATCTCTGGCCACACCTGGACTGATAAGGATCGCTAATAAACTATGAGTGGATCTAGAATGAAAAAAATAAGGAGAAAAGGAAGGGGGGAAGATAAGGAGAGCAGATTTTACATATTATTAGTAATCCAATTATTCATTAATTTTGCCCTACAGCCGCAGTGGAATTTAAAATCTTCATGTTTAAATTTATAACAATGTACCTGGACATTAGAAGCGAGGAACTGGGGGTGTTAGATCTGACTTGGCAAGCCCTATCAGAAAGCTGTTTATATAAGTACCACAGCCAGGAGCTGGCACACAGAATGAAGGCATCTCCCAACCCTTGTGGTGCAACCAGGCACAACATCGCCTCCTGCACACCACAGGCTCCTCCCATGGGTTATTTTAGTTACCGCAAGAGAAGGCCATGGTGAGGGAAAGCCATGGCCACTCTACTTGTCCATCAGCCTGAGCAGGTGATCCTGGAAGGAGCAATAAACCCCCAAGGATGGGGCATCCCTGCACAGCAGGTCCTCTGACCAGGATCCTTAACCAAGCCTTTAGCCAGGCAGTTTTGCCCCATAACTCAAACAAAATGCTGCCTTTTCAAAAGATTTTGAAGCCCAGACCTCCAGTGCAGCTGCCTACATTTCCTTCTTCTCAACCCCCCTTTGTGTTGCCTGCTCAACTATGATTTGCATGCGTAACTGATGTGCATATTGCTGCTCACCTGCATGTGCAAAGCTACAGCTGAATACATCGAGAATGCAGTTGCACACTTACAGAAATTACCTTGCCCTCCCCTCACAGGGCCTTGCCACTTATTTCTGCTACACAGTTAAATACATGCTGGTTTTTGTCATCTTTAGTGCCATCTACTGAGACTGTGAAAAACATATCACTACTAAGCATATGCTCACAGATTTTACAATGTGTCTTGTGTGATAAGCATAGTCGTTTGAGGTCGCTTTGATCACCTTTCAGGTTATGTCCTGCAATTGTGTATGTGCTGTGTATCCCAGATTTACATATACTTTAAATGAGAAAGAGCCAGACATGACCTTTCTCATTTACAGGATGGAAAAAAGACAGCATTCAGGGACACTTGCAGGTAATGCTGGGGTTAAAGGTAGGCAAAACTTTGCAGTTTTGGTCAAGGTTGGGATCCATTAGCTTTCACTGGGGTTTTAGTTCTCCTGCTATCAAATTCATTAGCTTTCATGCCAAATGTTGCTTCCAGCTGAAATTTACACAAGAAACCAGGAGTGCATTCTGCCCTGTACACGCCACAACAGAGATTCAGCGGTTTTACTGCAGACCCCAATTGAAGCCATGCACCTCAACGCGCTGCAAGAATTCTAATTTCTGACCAGAAAGCAAGATGTAGTGGCCACTTTGCGTCCGTCTTTCTGTCCTGGAAGCTGAAACTAAGAGTGTGGGGACACCATGCTGTGATTCCCAACAAAAGATTGTGGCAGCGGAAGGACAGCTGCATGCGCTCTCCTGCAGCCAGGCACCTGCCTGCTCTGCCTTCTCATCACCTGAACAGGGAGAGCGTTTGTGTGGAGTGTGTCACCTGGTCACACAACTGAACGTCTTGCAACTTTGAGTGTCATTTTAGCTGAACGCAAGACAGGTGGCCCTGACAGACCTGAACTGTTCATAAGCTGTGCTTGATTCTGTTTTGCAGACTGAAACAATTTAATGAAATTCAATTAACATTCAACGTGGTGAAAGCCTTTCAAGCCCAAATGTAGATACTATCAGCCTAACCTGACCTTGGCTGCCACAGGTTCAGTTCTTTGAAGGACATCATCAGCCTAAATTATCCTGCATTAGGAAGCTGAGATCTTCTAAAAACACTGATGTGGCTAAAGATTTTAACATTTAAATGCTGTTCCTTTTAAAAACCACAGATGTGTGTAAGTTTCCTCAGAAAATGCAGCGGCAGAGGCTCGGCTTGGCTCGGCTCGTGGGGGGCTGCAGAAGAGGCAAAGGCTGTGGTGTGAGCCGTCCACTTTAAGCACTGCACAGCAATGCCCCAGAGGCAGGCATGCACATGCTTTAATGACCTCTTCTCCCTCACTCTTGAAATGAAATCCTGATCCTACTAACGTCAATAGGCATTTTTTTCATTGTCTGCCAACAAGGCCAATATTTTGCTTTGGTTGTAGTGGGGAAAATGTCTTTTTTTCTTTAAGCACGGTCTAAAGCTGCCCCAGCGAGAGCAGGGAGCTAATGGCTGGTCACGCCTCTGGCCTCAGCTGGATGCTGACAGAGGAAGGCAATAAGCACATTAAAAATAGGAAGGAAATGATAGCCTGTTGTCTCCAGGCTTCCATGCCCCTTGCCAGTGCCCTTCTGATATGGGATGGCCATTTTCATTCCCAGTAGGTGTCCTGGGTCTCCATCTAAAAAACCTATTTTCTTTGTAAACTATTTTTATACTTAAACAACTCCCACAGAACCTAAGTTACTGTAAATATTTGCATTAAATCAAATGTAGGCAGCTCAGTGCTTCAGAAGGTGCCTTCTAGTCTTTTTTGTCTATAATTATCTACAGAAATGCCACATTTTGGGATTCTGACAGTTTATTTTCTGATACTATCATGGTTCCGGAGTCTTTCAAGATTCAGTGAGGATTTCAAGTACTGCTTAACCATATTTCATAAGGTCAGTCTGTGCAGTAGCCACTGTAATTGGCAGTAACAAAAATAAGTAGTGGTATCACACTGGTAAAACAGTGCCCTTGCAGCAAAGCCAAAATCAGGGAAAGGCTTCTTGCCTGGGTTTATTGCTGGGGTTACACAGCTATGGCCTGACACGTAAAATTAAAATCTAGCCTACACTTTGAACAGGAAAATGAAATTTTTCTTTACAGATCTTATTTTCTTACAGAAGGGAATCCCACAACTGGGAGCCTTCTGGCACCAGAGACATCAGCTACTATTATTGTTATCACTAATAAAAAGTAATTATATAGAAATACCCATTAGACTTGTAGATTAGAAATAATAAAAATAATAACTAGGATACCAGGTGTCAGAAAGAGAAATTTTTATTTATACAGGGGGTTTTTAAGCTGATGGAGAAAGTCTTTGTGATGACTAATATCTCTATTTTCTGAAAATCTGCAGCGTTCCTAGGAATTGTAGGAAGTGGTTTTGTCTTTTTTCCTGATTTT